GAGGTCATGGTGTCCATGTCCAGCAGTCACTGTGCAAGAGGCGGGGGACACATGGACAGGTCTCCAGTCCATCACAGGGACACATAGAGACAAATGAGACAACCATTCACTCTCTCTCTCACCTGGAGACAATTTAGAGTTACCAGTCTAACATGCATGTTTTTAGTCTGTGGGAGGAAACTGGAGTGACTGGAGAAAATCCACGCAGCACGGAGAAAAGATGCAAACTCCACCCAGAAAGGCCCAGTCTGGGATTTGAACCAGTGACCTCTTGCTGAGAGGCAACAGCTCCACTGTTATGTAAATTATTATTATTAATTATTAAAACTAATTAGTGCAGCTTGACAGTTAATTGTAACAGCTTAACTTGATAACTCTGTTGAGCTGAATTAAAAAAAACATTTCACTCTATTAAAACTGGATAATATTTGACTTCAGTTAATTCTTTGAGATTCATGTTTATTTAGTTTTGTTTGTGTTTTCCTCATAAGATTATTGATGCTGGTTTATCATATTTACCATGAATAAAGTAAGTATTAAACTGCACATATGTGGCAGCCTTATTACAACAATATTAAATATTAAATTATTATATTTAATTGTGTCAAGGCTACTTTTAAAAGATGGAAGAATGTGGAAAAATAAAGGTCCATGTTCTTCAGTGGTGTGTCTGCCGCTCTATGGGAAATTGTAATTACCATAAAGTGCATGTGAAGCAGAAATGACAGTTGTTTCTGCAGAGGAGCGGAGCTGCAGATGGAGATGTGTTGCTATGCAACAGGGATTTCATCACCAGCTCACATCCGCCCGTCTGTCTCCACACCTCGGCAGGACGTGATGACTGCTAAAAATCCTGTTTCTTTACAGCCTCTAAACTGTGGGAGGGCTGGAAGTTTTTAAAATGCAGCATCATTATCCACTGTTTATGAAAAGTTTTTTCTTCTTCAGGAAAAAATGGCTCATTTTACAATTTGACACATTTTAGACACACATCACTTTAAGAGTGCCAATAATATGAATTTCCTGATAAATCTTTGTAGATTAAATGTTGGTTCAGGAATCTATGAAGACTAATATTATAAAACAGTCTGAACGCATTGAATGTAAGAAATAAAGTTTTGTTTTTTTTTAGATTTAATATAATGTAATATTTTAATAGTGACACTTAAAATATTTCATCCATCTCTAAACGTCTCTAATACAGTTTTGATCTAAAAGGTCAGTGCCTCTGATATGATGATGTCATCATGCTCAGAGGATCTTTATCTTCATTACATCACTATTTGCACAGACGGTGGGTGAAAAGCAGCAGCCAGTAAACCCATGAACAGACTCTGTGTTCAACTGGACCACTGGAGGGCTCACACGAGTGGTTTTGATTGGAATAAAGTTCTTGTTGTTCCAGTTTGTGGCTTCAAACTGTGAATCTTGAGCTTCACCCGCCCGAGGCTTCGCCCACTGAGGACATCAGAACGAGTCTTCAAGTCACATTTGTAACTTTTTAAAAGAGTGTTTGTCCTTTACGTAACAATAAATAGGATTAAAAATGACCAGAGGCCACAAATACCTACCCCCCACTGCATTAGATAACATCCAACAATAAATTCACAAACTGCGCTCTGGAAGCTGGAGACAGAGTTTAATTGACCGAAGACAGGAGGAAGTGAAGTACTGAGCCAGCACAGACAGAAAAACTAAATAAAACTAAATTTAAGGTGTAGCATTCCTTGAAGGAACACAAACAACAACCAGCCTAAACGTCTATCGCCTCGTGGATCATCACGATGAAGTTCTTCAAACGATCACCTCTGATCTTACGCCCTCCTTTCACCCGTTCCAGGTTGTTTACTGCTCCAACTGCTCAGCAGAAGATGCCACCACCTGAGCCTGCAACACCTGGAGGAGAACAACGCCCATGAAGGAGGAACACCGTTTGTGAACTTCAGCTCAACTTCAACACAATCATCTCAGCAGCTGGTCAGCAAGCTGGCTCCACCAGGCTTCAACACCACCTTCAGGAACTGACAGACCACAGCCAGTATGAGTGGGGAGGAATATCTCCGTTATCAGTCTGAGCACGGGTGTCCCCCAGGGCTGTGTTCTGAGTCCACTTCTCTTTAATCTGTTGAACTATGACTGCGTTGCCAGGTCTGAGACCAACCACATCATCAAATATGCAGACGATACCTCGGTCGTGGGCCAACGAGGATCAGGCATTTCGGCAAGAGGTGGCCCACCTCGTGAACTGGTGTGGGGAAAAGGACCTGGTTCTGAATGTCAACAGAACTAAAGAGCTCATTAGTGACTTCAGGAAAACAAAAGCACATCACATGCCACTGCTCATAAACAACACAGAGGTGGAGGTGGTGGAGAGCACCAGGTTCCTGGGGGTGCACATAACCATTCAGCTGTCTTGGTCAAGAAACACTGGGTCCCTGTTGAAGAAAGCCCAGCAGTTCCTCTGTCGGCTGAAGAGAACACACCTCCCAGCACATGTCCTCTCCAGGTTCTACAGAGGAACCATGGAGAGCATCATGAGCTGCAGCTCAGTTTGGGAAGGAAGCTGCAGACTGGAAGGACCTGAGGAGGAGGAGAATGATGGAGATCATTAGGTCACCCCTCCCATCCATCCAGGACACTGGTCTCAGACACTGTCTGACCAGAGACAATAACATCAAAAGAGACAACTCTCACCCACAATACGGACTGTTGACCTTTGTTGACCTCTGGCAGGAGGTACCACAGCCTGAGGACCAGAACCACCAGGTTCTGCTGCAGTTTCAACCCACGAGTTGTTGGACTGCTGAACTCAGGTCACTAATGAAGTGACTACAATAGCACAACACACACACACACACACACACACGCACACACACGCACACACACACGCACACACGCACACACACACGCACACACACACACACAAACACACACAAACACACACACACACACACACACACACACAAATTCATAAACTCGTACACTGCTGTGGAGAACTAAAACAAATTTTATTCAGTTTTGAATTTTGAGTTTTAAGTTTGGTGCACTGTACAATTCTGAATGATATTAAAGTTTTTATTTAGTTTAGTTTAATCATTTTTTGAATATGTAAACAAACAAACAATACAGCATGAAGCATAATGTCAAAACTTTTTGTTTTACATATTCAACGGAGTGGGTAGAAATATATAAACTCTTTAACCACTTACATATGTATGAATTATACATTTAATAAATGTAACAACTAAACATATTCAATCCTTCTATTTAGTATCTTTTTAAGTTAACTACAGTAGATAAACTATTATTATTTCTATAACTTCACCAAAAAAAATTTTAAAAAATAAAAATGAGCATAAATAACAAAAACATCAAGAATAATTGAATCATAATATTATAAATTATATCCACAATAATCATATGTTTAAATGATCATTTGAACAGTTTTTTGTTTGGACGTTGTCTAAGTTCAATATTCAAATTATTCCAGTTTGACACTTAATGATACACAAACTTATTTTTTTTTAAATAATTCTGAATTTGCACATTTTAAACTGTGATTCCTCCTTAACTTATTCATTTGCTCCTTCGTCTTAAACAGGTTTTGAATGTTTTCCAGTAACTGTTTATATTTGGCTTGGTAAAGAATTAGAGCTGTCCGTAGTTCCACTATGTCAATTGATGTATTTATGATTATTGATACAATATTTCACAGCAGAGATTTAGTCCAAGATGTTGTGAAGTTGAGGAGTTGGAGTCGTTTTGTTCATGTCGCACATGTAATATTGTCAAATTACACTTTCAGAGTATAGTTGGAAAAATGATCACACCAGGAGCTGAAAATGTCAAAAACTGACATTAAACACGAACATTTAGTTTGTTGTTTCGGTGTTTAGAATCTAAAATGTCTGAATGTTTCAAGTCAAGTTTTGGTTGGATCTTTTTGCTCTGTGCAGCTCCATGAAGCGACGAGGAGCTACTGCAAACCTCAAATGAATCTGCACATGTCAGCATGCTAAAGAGGACACAGACGGTGTTTTAACACGTGCAGCTCATAGAACAGGAGCAGAGCTGAAGCAGCTGAGGGTCTGGATCCTGTTGGTCACATGATGATTCTCTCTTTCACTCAACAAAATGGCTGCAAAGACAAAAAACTCAGAGAATAAAACCGAAAGCTGCTGAGGACAAAGATTTCCTCTAGGTGGCAGGACTTCCCTTTGAATCAGGGATGCTCTCACAGACAAAAACACTCCTCCTCATCTCCACCACTGGCATTTGGCAGGATCTGTCACCAGGGAGCCTGTAGAAGCACGAGCACTAGATTTAATCAGGCTCTGAGAGATCAGCCAACATGGCTGCTGCACCACTCCAGGTGATGTCTGCTGAATGCATGGACCAGAACCGGGTCTCAGAACTCAGAGCAGTTTCATTAGACCCAAGTGATGCAGCAGCAGACACGCAGTTCTTTCAGTGAGCGACACGAACCATGAGTTTAGAAGATCGGCCTTTGATCAGAGTTCAAAGCTAAATCTCTGCTGAAGTGTCCTCGGGCAACACGTAACGGACGGTTCGTTTCTGTGAAGATCTTTGACCTGCAACACACACACAAAACATTCACGAATAAAAAACATTCTTAGAGCAAAACATTTATAAAGAGATGATTCCTGCTCACATTCCACTTGTTGTTCATGTAATTAAGAAAAGAAAAACTGATCCCGCAGGAATTGTTGTGCCAGAGTTTCAGTACAAAGGAACATGCCAAGATATTAAAATACCAGAGAATATATAAAATACCAGAGAATATATAAAATACC